CCCTGAGTCCCCTCAGGGAGAAGGGCGGCATACAAATAAACTAATTCCAATTCCAATTCCAAATATAGTTTATTTTAATAAACATTTTTTAAATTTCTTCTACATTTCCCTAGAAATTGAATTCACCAAGTTGATTTAAATTTATCAACAGCTGTGATAAACTGGAAATTGAATGATGGATCTTTCTTTTATTTTTTTCAGAACATTATAATAAATATCATTTGCCATAGAAAGAACATGAAAACTATGCTGAACTGAGGTTCCTTCTGCTGGATTTACCCCTTTGTTATTGCTACTTTCCCCAGTTTAAAATAACCATTTTTGACATCTGGAACATTGATATCTTTCCAGATTTACCAGCCTTCAACAAAAAGTTTGAGCAAGATCCTCATTCCAAAGTAAATTTCATGAATATATCCAAGCAAACTTTCCAAAGAACAAATTTATGTGCAAACTAGAATGGAATGATTGGTCATGATTTGGGAATTTGTTGACTGTTGTTGTTTGTAACTCTATTTAGGCCTTTAAAATGTTGATACATTTATTTATTTGTTTGTTTGTTTATGTGACACCTGGCAATATACAGTATTAAAAACCAACAACATAAAACCCCCAGAAACCCTCATCCCCTGTGGCAATGACAAACACAATCATACAAGCAATGTGGTCCGAATCAAGGTATGTTGGATATGTTTGTTGCCTTGAGTTACTTGTAAATATAATAAAGACAGAATACAAATAAAACAAACAAAAATAAAGGAATAAAAGAAATATGGAAAATTCATTTCACTAGAATGTCTGCCTGAATTAGAACAGAAGCTCTCTGTTGGGTAATCTCAATGTCTTGTTTGCCATTACTGACTGCAAAAACAGATGAATATCTCTCTACATTCTGGCCACCAATCACCGGTTGAAGTTCCTCAGTCTTTCTACAGTATGAATGTGAGTTTTGAAGGTGGGGAATGACTCATCACTTCTAACTGATAAACCATAGCATAAAATTGAACTTTTTTTGTTTTTGCAGTTTAACATATTTTTATTAGACATTTTAGAAGAAATATATAAGCAGGGAAAGAAAAGGACAAAAGAAAGGATAAAAGACCAGAATGCAGATGAGTAAACAATGCATTTACAAATATCATAGAGAATTTTTCAGTATCATTAGTCAATTGTGAATAACAGAATGTACTCCATTGTTTTAAAAGCTTAAAAAATGCTATTAAGCTCTAAGCAACACATATCAGGAACCTGTGAATTGCAATAAATTCTGTCCATGCTACTAAAAGTTACACTAATTTAGAAAATCTAAATTAAATAATAAATAAAAATATAAATTTTATGTAGAGTGGAAACTCACATTATATTGAATTTTAATCTAGGAATAGTGTCAGGTGCTCCTTCGTTTAATAATCAAGAAAGAAACCACTCAACTCCATGCTTTAGAATTAAGTGTACTTTTATTAATTACAAATGATGAGAAGCAAAGCAAAGCTGAGTCTGAGTAAAAAAATGTGAAAGCAATAGATATCATGTATAATTCAATCCCCCCCCTCTTGGCACCCCAGTTCATAGTCCAATCATAATTCACCCAACCGTCAAGTGGGAGATGTCCTCAAAA